AACACTCCAAATCAAGTGGAAACATTAGCTCTGCTTGGTGCTCTTCACTTGATATGTAACCACACTGTTTACTTCCACATGGATAAAGTGCATTTGTGTGTACTTGGCTTTTTGTGTAACCATGCTGCTATGCTCCTGTTTATTCACCATGCCTCACTCTCAAATGACAAAAACAAACAAATGCCAACCAGCCTGTTTCTAGTGCTTTGTTTTCATTGGCATCAACTGGGACAAGCACTGCTACTGTATGCTCTGACCCAGGATTAGGAAATGTGACGATATGCAATGTAAGCCATGAGACAATATACATTTGTCATTGTCAGAGATTTTGCCATACTGTTTATACAGTGGCAGCCATACTTTTTTTCCCTCTTGCCATTCATCATCAACTCCATCCAAATGCACAAATATGGGATTTGTTGTATAGACAGCAGTGCAGTTGAGCAGTTTTTTATATTTATATTATATATAATATATATTAGCCAAAACCAAAAAATATATTAATTATTATTATTGTCATAACAATTATGAATTTATTGTTAGTGATTTGAGTGAACAGATTTAACAAAACCATTGTCCAATTATAAAATAACCACGTGTGATGGACAAGAGATAAGGACTGAGGATGTTGCTTTGCTACTTCAACAAAGAACAGGAAAGTCTAGCAAGAAGTAGCACATTTTGTACACCTTGGATGAGTTTCTCATTCTTCATCAAAACTACTTCTGATCTGATTTTGAGCCAGGCTAAATGCTGACAAATGCAAAACAAACCATAGGTTTCAGGATCAACCGCAAATTTATTTTCGTAAAGAGAATTGCTTAGTCAGTTCTGAGTCTTAGACGATGTAGCGGAAAAGCTGCCACATCAACTTCAATTCTCAGAAAACAGCGTCAGACAGCCCTGAGCCAAAATTAGATGACTAAATGCATGGAAACTGTGTGGAAACCTAATCAGTATACTAGTGTAGTATAGGTGTGTTGGTTTCCCACCCTAATCTGATGCAGTGACTCCTAAATGTAAAATTTTCTGCCAAGATTGGTGGAAAATGGGGCATGACTTAGCACCTGTTTAACACAATTATGCAAACACACACACACACATACACACACAGGAACATCACAATGCTGAGGCAGGAAATAGACTGCTGGTTACACGGGTAGAGAAAGATAAAGGTGAAAAGGAAGTGAAATGAAAAAATTCAAAGAATGTTATCCTCGTGGAATGCAAGTTTGTAGAAAAACAATCCGGAACAAGTGTTTGATTTTCTACTCATGTGGTGCAGTCATATCTCTTCTGCCTTATCTCTCCCTGCGTCTGTCATTTGTCTTTTCTGTTGCAGTAATATCTGTCATGTCGGACAATGACGAGTCTAACCCATTTCACGGGGGATAATTACTGTGTCATTATCATTAGAGTGGAGCAGAGCAGCACACCCTGCAGCAAACAGAACAAAGGTTAAAGGGATTTATACAATGGGAGCAAGTAGGTGGCAAAAAATGCTCCCTGATTTAGTCTTTTTTCATTTTTTCATGGTAGTTCTGTTTCTTGGCCTCTGGCTGGTTCACTTGTTTAATTTGATTTGTGAGAGATGCAATTACCTAATATTTCTTTAACCAAATTGACAAATGTAAACCACTGAGCTGCTTTGGCCTTAAAATTATCTTAAAAGTAAGTTTCATTAGCAAACCTGACGTATGCACCTCATGTGGTACGGAAAAAGTGTTAGCCCTGATATTTATGCTTCAGGTATTATTGGTGCTTCTATTTAAACCCCAATGGCATCATTCTTGGTAAGGATGTGGCTACACAGAAATGCAAGCGTGTGAGTGCAAAAAACGCTGACAGAAATAGGCTATTTACATCATAAAATTGAGTTCAAATTCACAACTGTTGGTATGACAATTAGGGTTACGGGTAGTATTAACACTGGGGGAGCATAGTTGGATTCATTCCAGCTAAACTGTGCTGAATCTGGCTCTGTCTAATGTCTCGTAAGCGCTCTGTAAGTTGATTGTGTGCCTCTCATTTCCTGGAGGGGTCTGGAAGGCAACATTATATTCTAAAATGAAGAAGGCAGGTACAAAAAGAGAGAGCAAGAGAGAGCAGTGGTTTAAAGAAGCTACCACAGCAAAGCCTTGGTGGACCACCACCACAAAGAGGCAGATCAATAAGACTGTAGTTGGGTGGTTCTCTCAACTCAACTCAACTCAAAACCCCTCAAATACCGCACACAAGCTAACGAACACGTCCACTTGAAACCAGGGGGAGCGTTTTCTAAATTGCTTCCTGGAAGCGCTGAGTTCACATACAGTATCAAGCTAAGATTTAGAGATTTAGTGATTTTCCATCAAAGCCTTTAGAGGTGGTATTCTTATTGACATATCCGGACGGAGCACAGTTTAAACCCACATCAATCTTAAAGCTCTCAGTTGAAAGACCAGATTTAGTTGAACCCAAAGGAAAATAAAAATGTCATCTAACCCCTACCTGGTCTTTTAATTATAATAACACTTAATCTCTAGTCATATGAGGATATGAATCATTACTTATGAACCCCGTCAATTGACTCAGAGGTATTTACGTCCCCTGGCAGTATGAGTGTGTCCTCTCCTCTGCCACTGCCACTTCAGGGGAGATGATTTTGCTGCATGGCAAAAAAAGTGATTGAAAAACACTGAGGCCAGTAGCTGTATGTGTGTGTGTGTGTGTGTGTGTGTGTGTAAGAGTGAGACACTGAAGATATCGATCGTTAAAGCTTAATTCTGGTGGAAGAAAAGGCCGGAGGCAGTGGCTCTCTGAATAATAATCACACCCGTTCCATGTGGGTTTGGTGAATGACAAACCTGACATTTAAACGTGGCAGCACAACAATAATCAGGCTGAATTGGAATATTGAGAGGTGAAGATGATTTTTCTACAGTGAAATGCTCAAATTAGGCTGGAGCAGCAGGAATATGCTAATAAATTGGGTTGTTTTCTTTTACTTTTCTGGTGCTGCTAATTCAAATTGCCATGTTAAGGTAATTAATTCTGTATCTTGGCCAGCGGACTAGACATATTTTATGTAATCAATTCGGTTTATGGAGATTTTGGATGATGTCCATCCCAAGAACCTAATGTCCTGTGAAAGCTTTCTGGCATATTTACACATGATGATGTGGCGATGTGTGCTGAATCAACCTGATTACTATGCATTTCATGCTGTTGTCACGCAAAATCATCCTGAAACCTGCAATTACTGAATGTGCTTTTTGAGGTTCTGAATATGCCTCCAATATATTTAACAGCCTTTAATAAAGTACCATTTACTTACTTACTTATTTACATTTAAGTGCCTGTGGAGTATATGTGACTCCAATACAACTCCTGTGCCGTGATCACTTATTTCACACTACAGTTAAAAAGTTTGTAATTTTGCCTCATGGTGGTATTTCGACAAGTCATTATTCGCAAGCAATAGCCCACATACTGACGCACTGTCACACATTGTTATGAACAAGCTGCGTTCAAATGTAACAGGTGTCAAAACCTATTGTGCATCACACTGGCAAAAACCTACGACTGCTGATGACAAACATATTATTCCTTTCTAGACGTGTAAGACAAGAGACACAGTGTACTGACAGCTTTGTAAACTTATCTACGTCACCAACATCAGCCAGTTTAGTTTTTCAGCATTTGAGAGGGGAAATATTTGCATTAGTATAATTTTAAATTGTGAGGGGAAAAGCGGAAAATAACTGGATTTTACCCTACAAGGGAAAACCAAGAGCTGACACTGCGTCACATCCTCTCCATCCTCTCTGTTGTGCACGAGCAAAATTAAGCAGCACATCCTTTTGTTCTGAACAATTAGACGACTGCGTGGACGGCTTTGAATTTGGGTGAGGGGAAAAAAATAATTAAACCCTATAAATTCACTCAAGTCCGTGTCCAGGCTGAGGCAGTTACTGTTCAGTGCCAGTGCAGTATGTGTGTGTGTGTGTGTGTCTGTTTGTGTGTCGCCCTCAGATAAAGGCTAAAGATTATGTGGAAGAGTCCAGCTGTTGGTTCTCCCACAGGGTTTCTGTGTTAAAAGCCGAGAAGCTGATTATCTCTCCTGAACACATCAGCAGCAATCATCACTGTGTGGAAACCCATTACACACACACAGACACACACATACGGACACACAAAAACAGGCATCAGACAGCACTCTGATATGTATGTTTTCAATATCCAAAACAGCGCTAAGATTAACCAGTTACTCAATTGAGAAAAGATGAACTCATAAATACTGTTTGGTTACAGTTTAGGTTTATATAAATACACAGTTTGAATACAAAAAGTACAACCAGTTGCTTTTCCAGACACCAATTTGGTTGCTGCTCATATAAAGTAAGCAGTAATGTCTTTAAACTACACTGTACACTGTAAGGTCCCTCTGTGATAGGCATCATTCCTACTAACTACTGGTTTGTTAACTAATCAATCAATGCTTAGTCAGTCAATAAATAATCCAAAACACTGCTCTTATGGCTACTTCCTCATGGGTCTCCCATTAAATTTGACCTACTCCTATACATTTGGGCTAGATTAGTGTTATATTAACCAAATAAAAATCTGTGAGCATACAAGGAAATGCCTGGAGTAACCAAACAAGGAAAGGAATTTGTATTTTTTTTCTCCCACCATTGTCTTTTCCTTTTTCACCCTGTACTTGTTTAACCTGTCCAAAACGTCTGAACTGATGGGATATCCCATACTACCAAGCCACTTAATCAACAACAAAACTCACACCATAAACAACCATTAAAAGTAAATAAACACAGTACTTGGTGTCTTTGAAAAGTATGTTTTTCAGATTAAAAGCCCCTGCTTGGCTGTCATGGGTATCAGTAAATATGCCCTTAATGTTAGGGTTACTGATGATCCCGGGATATTTGAAAACGAGCTTACATCGAAGGGGTACCTCTGGTGTGTCTGAAGTGTGTGTTGTTGTGTTGTTGTGTATTTACCTGGAAGGCTGGCACTGACAGGGACGACACAGAACAGGACCGCGGCGAGCAGCAGCAGCGAGGCCCGGCGCAGGCGTCCGCTCGGCGGGCTACACAGCAGCAGCATCCTTGGGATCTTCTCGGGGACGGAGAGCCGCAGACGGGGACGGAGGTGGTTGTCATTCCCCCATCACTTTTATTTTACTGTTTTTAGTTTTTTTTTTTTGTTTTTTTCCCCCTTTTTTTTTATGCGAGAGTGCTTCAGCGCAAAGTATACACAGAGCTAAGCCGAACAGGTCGCAGCGGGGCGCAGTCTGTCCACACACTGCGCACTGTAATCCGTGGCAGAGCTAAAGATAGCGGAGCTTCAGGCAGGGAAGGAGGGTGTGTGTGTGTGCTCCTGTATGTGTGAGTGTGTTTCATATGCTGCCTTCAGGCTCTGCTCGTGAACTCCGACATGTCGCTTAACAGATTTGTTTTTTTTGGGTTTTTTTTACATTATTATTATTTATTATTATTATTATTATTATGCAGACAGTTTCAAACTAATCTCCCATCAAATAATTGATTATATAATACATTAAGTGCAGCCTATGAGAGTGTAAGAGGTGGTAAAACGTCCAGTCGTTTTCTTCTAAAAAATAAATAAATATATATATTCTATTATTATCTTGCATTATTATTTGTATTTTATTTTTATTATTTGCTAAATGCAATAGAAGATCGATTTTCATTTGATTGAAATAGGCGCCATATTTGGGTCCGGTATCCAATTCTAATAATACGTCCATGCTTCAACTTGTTTTCTTTTTCAACCATTCTTTTTTCTCATATATGTATTCTTTAAGGTGTAGTCATTTAAGGTAGCTCCTATAAGACAGCAAAATGAATGCCAGTACAAAAGTGTAATAACTAGAAATATACAACTCATCATTGAATATTGATTTAAAACGTTTCATATATAAATTGTATCCAATCTCACATCCTCACAAATTAACCATCAATGGAAATGTACACCTTTAAATGTAGGCCTATAATTATTTTGTGCCTTTACTGTAACCTCCGCCACAAGCTTCAGGAAATGTTTACAGTCGACGTGGCACTGTTTCCCACAGCACCTGAAGGCAGCAGTTTACTGAGAGATTAGAAACAAGGAACAGGCAGGAGGTACGTGAGACGTGATGACGTAGGACCCGGTTTAAATAACACTAGATAATATGGTGCTTGGTTACATGGTTTACAAACTGCTAGAGTGGCATTTGCTGATTAAGAAAAATGATAATCTTATTTTAAAGCTGATGAGTTTATACTTTGTCAACCAATCATTTGTTCATTTTTTTAATCAATTAATTTGTCATTAAGCAGCACAGATTTGCTAATAATTGCCCAATGAAGATTGTGTTTGAGGGAGAAAGTTGGTGAGCAAATAGTGTAAGTTTACCTAAGTTAGCAGGTGCAGTAAAATTATGTCACACAGCATGTTTTAAAATGAATGAATACGCATCCAATAAACAAACATGTTATATATGGTATTGTTGTCCATTCTGCTGATTAACTCCATTATGCTTACTCAAACACAAGCCAAATGGTGAATGGCAGCTGGCGACAGACCTGGCCTGTTTGTTTGCTTAGAGCTGAAAGACCATCTCCAAACAAAGGCCAAAATTCAGTGGACAGAAACAAAAACCTTCAGCTGGCCGGCGTTAGGATGAAAGTAGCCTAGTGGAATGTATCAACATATATACTAGTAGCTCACATTTTTGTAAAAATATTGCTCATTTATCATGTGAGAAATATTGAATCTGAAAGGTACTTTTAATTGAACTGTTTGATTGTGCCATGTAATATGTTACCATTGCTACTGTCAGTGTTACCACTGTTATTGTAGATTGTGCTATACTGTGGTAGCTGTTCCCATCTGGCACAAAATGTTTCACGGTATGTCTCATCTCCTGACAACAACAAAAAAACCACACTGACTGTATTAATCAATACACAACTGGCTAGCTCAAGGACAGGGGCATTTTGGACACAATCAATCCTCACAGGAGAGACACTGTGTTGATAAATGACCTTAGTGTAATGTGTAGATAAGTCACATGTAAAGAAACTATATTGCTCCATCGTGTTTATGAAAAGCTCAAACTACAAAGAAAATCTTTAATGAAATAACACACAGTGGAAATAGTGAAAAGTTTTACAGTCAAAATCCTTCAGCACCCAAATTGTGTTTGACTGCTGAGTTCTGGACTGACTACTTAAACAGAAGTAAGTCTATTCCTGAGTGGGATTAAATAAATTAAAAGTGTCATTACAACACAAATTATCACCAGGATTACTGTGGATGCTGAATAGCAAAGACTAATTAGGCTCACCTATCCACCACATCAGCATGTCAAGTGACATGAGATGGTTCAGAAGAAGCCAGAGCTGCCACTGATGCTGAAAATGTAAAGTAAATATGTAATGCTGGAAAGAAAAAAAGGAACGTAAAAAAGGGATTGAAATGGTGATTTTAAATTTATTGACGGGACTGCCTCAGCTCAGTCAGAAACTAAATACAGAGAAGATATGAAACAGAAATTGGAGCAATGTCATGCTTCTCCTTTGGCACTGTTTAACTTTCAGTGACAGATCAACCAAAATCTTGAAAAACCAGCTGAACACAAAATTAAATTGCATTAAAAATAATTAAAAGAATCCCCTACTTCTTGTCCATGGTGCTTTTTCTCTGTGTGAACAGAGAACACAGTCCACAGTACTCAGTCCTGAGGTATATGGGTTGGCAAAGCCTTATACAGGCTAAACAAAAAACAAAAAAGTCATGTTGGATTAAGACTTGAAAACTCAGCAGCATCAGGAATAGGTCTACTACACAAACGTAAAAGAAAACATACTCTGGCACAGAGAGCGTTTTCGACTCACAAACGTAAGCTCACATTTCATGTACCACAAAAGACAGAAATCATGCAACAAAATATTAATGTGAATGAAGTAAGTGAACACCGAGTTATGCTTTTATCTGAATTGTTGCATATAGTTATTACACATAAGAATGCCCAAAATATGGATTAGATTAGGGAGTATGAGAGACTAACAGCAGGTACATTTAAGTCTTGACAAAACCACATTGGATCCAAAATGCATCCAATTTTCACTGAGTATAACTGTATCAATCCTACAACATCAGACAATGTACATAATTCAATTGGCCTTTCCAGTTTGACTGTTACCATTTTAAATCTAGGAAAAACCTCGCTGTGCTCCAGCAATCTCAATGGATGTCACTAAATATTAGATTGTTTTGTTTTTAAGTAGATTTTTCCTTAAATTTTAAGGTGGGTATAAACATTGCATCGTTATACAACGTAAATGCAATGACAAATGACTGATATTAAAATGACTCATTGCAACACACAATGCAAAGACAGGCTGAATGTTCATTTCTGTTTGAATCTGCCACAGGCGATCATACCCGTGTTTCAAAGTGCACAGCAGCCAGGGACTGCAGACCAACCTGTGATGCCGTATCTGGAACTAACCATTAGTTACATGTAGACTTCAGTTGCAAGAAAACCAGCTTTGGTCATTTTTGCAATGTTACAAATCAAATCCAAACTTAATTTCAAAAGATTCCAGTGGTCAATCCCACAACCTTTTTATTCTTAATTCCTGGCATGATTACTTTTTTAACTGATAGCATGAATGTGTTAGTCGAGATGCTTCCTTGGGTATCATAGTTGTTACACACCTTGTACACACACACACATTATAGCAAAAAAAAAAATGGCGAACCACACACACACACACACACACCCAACACAAACACACAACCACACACACACACACATTTCATCAAATGGGTCAACCTAGCAAACTGCATTCACTCTTGAAATTCCCTGAAGTTGCTTCCTAGTACAAAATAAACTCTCCAAATTGGCCCCATTTCATTTCCTTCATCTGCTGATGTTATGTTACTGAGAAGTTATGGTAGCTAACTCCACCTACTGGCCAGGTGATATTCCATTCAACGTTGCTGAATATCTAACAGTAGTGAAAAGGTGCAATCTACATTAAAAACAAACTGCATTGCATAAAAACCTAGCTGAGTACATTTTTGCCATATCTATGTTTTCCTCTAAGGTGAGGTAATTTTAAACTCTAAAGTCATTGATTTACGTCATTATCACCACGAACACCTTGTATGTGCCTACAATAGCAACACTACAGGCTTGGTGGGGGCAGCACCTGCCCAACCATCCTAACCTACAGCTTTTGGCGTGTAACTACCTAGTTTAGATCTCTCATTTCAAAGAGATCTGCACCACACAGAATGAGAGCTCCACGTTGCCTCTCTGTCTAATAAATACAGAACCATCTTAGGTTTTAAAGTCAAGACAGGATGGGAGCTTGACTCTCGGTTGTAAACATGCGGGCTGGGTCAGTTAGGGCTCCATGTAGGGCAGTGAGGAGCTCTGAGGCACCTGCCATTCAGAAACTGACAAGGGATTCAGTGTCAGGAAACTTGGCTGCTTCGGGATCAGCAGTGGTCAAGGGTTTGTGTCTGGTCCACTGTCAGAGTTTTGGGTTTGAGAAGAACCTGCTGAACACGGTTCAGTTCTGTCGTTCTCTGCCACTCGTGTGCAGAACTGCTGCTGCTGTTGCGACTGAAGCTGTCCTCTGAGCTCCTCTTCCTTAAGAACAACCTCCTCTTTCTCCAAGACAAACTCCAAGGTGGGCCCTCTTTCTTCTCCTTCGTCCAGCTCCCCCTCCTCTGCCAGGCGGAGTTTGATGTTCATGCCCATAGGTTTTTCTGTCTTATCTGGATAATGAGGAGGAGAGCCAATGATATGCAAAATTAGAACAAGAGAGAAGAACTAATATTTAATAAAATAAATAATGAATGTAAGTTTAAATGCTGAATAAAACTGTAAGATAATATGAGATTTATATCTTTAGTAGGAACGAATAGACTTAGGGCAGAGTGCTCAGACAGGCTGAGGAAGTTGGAAATAATTGAAATACAGCCTGTTAGTTTTCATCTTTTTATGGTAATTGTTGACAGTAACAAAGACATAGAAAATTGTCAGCCTTATCCTTTAATCTCCCTCCTCCTGGTCCTCACCATGCCCCAGCTGCCTCTCCTTGGGCAGCAGCAGCACATCCACATTGTGATGTTCCTCCAGAGCGGCTGTGAGCATGGCACCCTCGCGGCTGAACAGGAAGACCAAAGGCAGGGTGATGTCTTCAGTGGAGTCGCCATCTCCAACCATTTGGAAGAGTGGTGTTTCCTCGCTATTACTTCCCTCACGGTGGTCTGAGGAGGAGAATAATTGGAACCATTTATTTTTCTCCAGCCTTCAGTATTTGGTTATTCTTAGCTCTGTGTATAAAGCTTTGAGGTGGCTTTAGTTCCTCTGGTAAATATCCTCACCTATAAAGATGACTCCTATGGCTCCGGCCTCCTGCAGCCGCCGAGCCTTTACAGCGAACATGCAGTCACCACGCAGCGCCAGAGCGATATGGCCTTTAAGCCCCACTGCATTATCTATTGGCCCACATGCAGTGTAGGGAGAGGCTTTCACTATGCTGCCCTTCACCTGCGGCACAAGATTCTGATTTTATTATTGTGTTTGGTTGGAGATAAAGGGTAGTGGAGGTAAAACAAAACAGGTAACATCTGCATAAAATCTGTTATTGTATCATTTCAAAGTTTTGGTCATGTTTTTATCTTTCAGGAGTTTCCATGTTGATACTGTATACCATTTTATTGTCACATTGGAAGCTCACCCCGTGCTCCTGCTTGGTGAGGTCCATTCCAAACTTGGCAGGTCCTGCCGTGAGGACCGTCCTGCCCAGAAATGGTGGGGATATGAGCTGAACAACATGAGGCACCACCTCCTCCTCCTCTGGTGCCTGGCTTACCTCTGCCACAAGTTTTACTCGGTACACTCCTTTATGTTCCTAAGGGGATTCAAGTTTAGAAAACAGATGTCAGGTTTAAGTTAAGAAAGGGGAGTTGTATAGTATCATCAGTACTACCAGCAGCAGACTCATTACCTTGACCCAATTTTTTCTCCATTAACATTGCTATTAACCCAATGCTTATAAAGTGTTTCAAAAAGCAAAATTAAACTGATAATCCATTTGCTATGATTATCATATTTCCTTTCCCCCTTCTCTGTTGGAAACATCATGATACCAGAGGGGGAATACTTACTGCTTAAGTAAACACAGAACGGAGCGTAGCATAGCTGAGCATAGATGTTGAAGAAATTGGATTAAAAAAACCTCTGTAATTTGGTTTATAATTTTCTAAATCCACACTAATCAAAGCCCTTTTATTTGTACAATTTGAAATATATAATTGGTTCAACAGCAGGTTATATAATTAACCTGTTTTGATGGCTCCACTAAAGCATTCTTACATCGTAAAATGCATTCAATAGGTTGTTTGAGTGCATGATTGGAACCAAATGGACAAAATTAGGTCTTAAAATCAAAATAATTGCTAATAATACCTGCAAAAAAATAAATAAATCTGGTGATCTTTGTTTTTCACCTGTGTTCCCACTTAAAACCGGAGTATGCTCAAGGTTTCTGCCTCTTAAAAATAAGTTTTTCCTTCCCACTATCGCTTTCTCATGGTGGGAAATGTTGGGTCTTTGTAAATATTTTATATGGAGTACGGTCTATACCTGCAATATTTGAGTGTCCTGAGATAGTTTTTGTTATAAATTGGTACTATTCAAATAAAATTGAGCTGAACTGAATTAAAGAAACCTGAGCAAGAAAAATGTTAAAATCACAATAAACTAAATTATTTCACTGCAAAAAAATTCTTCGAGCAGGCTTTCTGTTTAGGACAATGGCGCGGCCAAAACTTTTGGAGGTCTACATACAAATATAAAAATATATAAAACTATAAAAAGCAGCAGGATATGCAGAACTTCCGAACATGATTTGAGTACAAAGTAACTAGAATACCCTATGACGTCCAGCGCCTCCTGCAATGACCTCATTTAGTGGAGTGAGAGAAATGCCCATGCTTTTCAAGAACTCCACTGGCTCCATGCCATTATCATGGAGGGGTAGTTCAATTTCCCTGTAAAAGTACAAACAAACCCAAGTTAAAACTCAAAGTCATCAAATCTTACAGGCATCACCTGTGACTTCATTCTAAAAGCTAAAGCCGCTTGCGACTGGACACACCTGACAGGTAAGGGGTGGAATGCTCGTCCCACCCCAGTGAGGTACTTGTAGCCGTCCCGGATGGTTTTGGCAAATGAAGGGTTGTTGGGGAACAACGTCTCCATGCTGGGGCAGGAATGTGTGAACAGATCTTCTTCTTGGGAGACAGGAACACTCTCCTGAAGCATAGGACCAAGAGTTAAACACTACACTCATATGTTAATTCACATATTAAAGGGTCAGTTAGGAAGTAAGTCATAAAAGGCTCCATAATGTAGTAATACCGTAATACACAGAATATCAACATGTACAATTCTTACACAAGCTTGCTGACTACTAGCTTGCTGTCCCTGCTACACTGAGTAATGGTCAGTCCATCCCTCACTCTGGTTAGTTTCAAGGTCATGCCCCCTACAGTGGCAGATCTCTGCTGAATTTTTTAAAATTTGCTGAGAGGGAGGGAGATTTTGAGAGTGCAGTTACACTTTAACTTAAACTCTCACCGTATTGTTGCCTTGACAGGGCGGCTTGGTGGTGGACAGAGATACAGGAAGTAGGTGAGCTTCCGTGGTAAAGATGTAGTCGTCAATATCGATAGGCAGCTCGCCCTTCTCCGAAAACAGCAGGTACAGGTATTTAAACATCTCAGCCAGAAAGAACGAGTCCATCCTACACACACACAGAAAAACAGAAGCCATTATCACACATTCATAAGAGATACTTTGAGATTGTCAGCCTAAATACGTCTGTAATGTCATTTGTATACCTGTCTTCATGTGTCCCAGTGCGGACATCTTGCACAGCAGCAAAGCCGCAAGGCACCCGGGCGTAGGCATTGAGCTTTTCCACGATGGACTGTCCCACTCTGAGGTAGTAGGGGTCGCCAGTGGCCTGCAGAGATCCAGATATTATCTCAACCGCACATCTTACATGGAACGTTCAGTTTGCTATGCTATGTTTATAGTACAAGAGTGGAGTGGTTTCATTAATGAGCCTTCTTATGACAGACCGGAAATTTCCTACTCTTTAGAGAAAGGTCACTATAGCTTATGTCTTTAGATTTTTCACCTTATAGAGGTAGTAGGTGCTTTCTGCAAACTCTGGTCTCAGTAGGTGTTGGCCCCAGTGAACTCTAAACTCTGTAGTGAAAGCCTGCAGGGAGATTAAGCAAAGAACAGCAAAGACGTTAGTGACACTGGCTTCTCCCACAAAATATTTTATTTACATTAATGAACAGATTTGATGAAGAATGGAACAAATAAGATTAGCTACAAGAATTGCCATTATTATTTCTTGACTTGGTGTAGCGTCATGACTTTTTCCTACTATAATGTATATTATGACAATATATATTCAGTGATTTTGTTACACTATTTATACTAAAGGCATTTATCCCTTCAATACTTCTAGCTCTATTAGGTTATTCCAGGCAATGTTGTAATGACAAGGATTGCTTAATGGCAATATTGGATTTTGAGGAGTTTGACATCATTATGATGAAGTACCTTCATCAGTCTTATGGATTTAATCGATTACACACTAGCAGACATTCCCATCGGACTACTGTTTCTCTTTATTTGGAATTCCAGAAAAGGTACTATATGACAATGTGGAATCAGATCGTGATATACAATTTTGTATATGGTGATGTTATCCATATTACCCACCCCTATTGAGTGTTTCAAATACTTTATCTTGCCTGTATAAGCCTCCTGCCGCATAGGTTGTAAAATAGAACAAAAAGAGCAGAGATTATTTACCTCTGGAAGAAATTTGTGCTGTTTGGTGACTTGGTAAAGCATTTCATGAGTCTCAATAGCTGGTTTCAGATCTCCTCTTAAAACCTGTGTGAAGAATAAATGTTACTCCAGAAACATGAGTGCAACAATTTCTACGCTTTCTTCTGGTAGTAAAGGCAACGGATTGAGTACAATTTTAAGACAGCATGCCTGACCTGTAGGCCAGGGAAGAATGCCAGGAGAGAATCCATCCAGCTGCGCACGCTCACGGTGGGGTTGTGCATGTGTACATTGAGCAGCAGGGGAGGCTGGCTGATGTACTTCATAATGGCACTGTAGTGCTGTTGCAGACAAACATCATGAAAAATATATTAGCAAACTGTGAACAACTTCCTCCAGCCACAATCACACTATGAACAAAATGGCCAGTGGTGGGCCAATGACAAATGCTTGGATATAGATTTCTATGTGCGCATGCAGAGATAGAGGACTTACAATGTTGAACCTCTCCAGAAAAACATTGTCTCCTAGAAGAATGTAGGCCTTCATCAGATATTCATAGTATGAATCAATACCAGCACCAACTCCACTGTCTGCAAACACACAGAAGTGACAAGTCAAATAACTATAATATGGTGAATGTATAAGAGCCATATAAAGTCTGTGTTCGATTCGTTGTATCACCAGTTTGCTTTACTATGGAGGAGAATGGAGGGACAGTGTGATATCAGGTAATGTTTGTCCTTAAAATAAGGGCCGTACGTTTGTTAGTGGCCATTCTCACTGCCATTCAAGTAACTACTTTGCATTTAGAAATCCCCAGACGACTGGCACACACTGAAATCTCAGATCTGGTATCGTGAGACTAGTACTGCATGTGTATTTCTGGATGATCAATGTTCTGTATCATGTTTATCCATTGTCTGTGTTAGAACATGTGTGGGTTCAGTTTTTAAATAACTTTTTTCACACAGTACATGTGTGTTTGAATTGCCTCACCTCTTCGGACCCATTCTTCATTATGGATATTAATAACAGTCCCCACCAAGTCACTTCCTCTCTGTCTCCTGTCCCAGAGGACATCCAGAGCCTTCCTTGCATTTGCCTGTAAAACAATAATAATAGGTATTAGATCCTTAAAATGTTTCTGGTAAAAACAATTACATCATTTATATATGATTTAATCTTTCAACAACTTACAACCAGCTATACTTTCTCAGAAAAGTAATAATGTTAAAGGGCAAATTAATAATAAACTAAAACATTAAAAAAAGCCTAATTTCTAAAAGGCAGAGGGAGGCAATACCTCAAACACAGACTCTCCTGACAGTCTGCTGAGGGCAGCAAACTCCAGGATCATTGTTCCAGCACATGCTGTGCAGGTGTCCGATTCAGTGCCTGTGCGTGAAAGTGGGTTAAGGACTCCATACCGCAGATTCACCTGGAAAAACAAAAAAATGATGAATTAATCTTGTCACATCACTCAGCTCAAATTATTTTTCTTACTTAAATAAGTAATATGTTGTTTATTGGTTCATCTGTAGTGCACTGACTGTGAGGAACTATTCTCTATTAATATCTGCTCCATCTGCATAAAGTATCTCTAAAATAAAACCTGGGATATTTAAAAATAGAATAAGGAATACCTTAGGATAGGGAAGGCCACTTGTGGTGTTAAAGGCAGGCAGTAATCGATGGCCCAGCTCTTTGGCCATGTGTAGGAGCTCATCCCGATACCACTGCATCCTCTCCCCACGCTGCCGTAGAAGGTCAGCCATCACGTGGGCTCCCAAAAGCCCTCTGGGGAGAATTAAAAGAAGGAAGAAGCTAGACGAGGTACTATATAAAGCTAGGTCCTTCTGTCTAGTAATAACAATACACTGTACCAATGTGGAATAATTCTCCATTCAGAAGAATTATCAAAAACAAGTCAGTTTTTTTTCAGTCAGACATGTTTTTATAACAAAAAAAAGAGCATATAGTGTTTATACAGTACAAAAGTAATCAATCATAGCCATGTTACATACCCTAAAACTCTGATGTTGGTCTCAAACACGGACACCACCACATCATTGTCCAGGCGTACATCCGTCACGGTCTTCCTCACTGCGTCCTCAAACTCATCAAGCTTGTTTAATACCTGCTCACACACACAGACACACACACAGGAACAAATAAATCTACTGCCAAAGTGGGGCAGGGAGGAGAAAAACAAGAGATGAGAAAGCAGATCAAACTAACTTTAACGCTTGAGAATAGAGGAAGAGTGAGTACTCACCACCAGGGTATCAAGGGTGTCAATCAGTGTGAGAGAAAACCTAGAGAAAAAGCAGAAGAGATAATTATGAGAGCCTCTGGCACAGCACAGTGGAGCTGGTGCCCCACTTTGTCACTGATCCAGTTTAATTTATAATGAACCACGGACTGTTAAATGTACAATCTGTTGAATTTGTGATATCACGTTAGACAACATATGTGACGCATAAATCGATGTATTGTACCATAACACCACGATTTATTGCATTCTTGTACATTTCATTGACTTAAATTAGCATCTAATTCATGTATTCTTGGAAAACTAGGGCATCTACTCCATGTCTCATTAAATCTGTTTGGAACCGCGTAGAATTATAAAAGAAATGAGTCCTCGTGTTCTTTGAAGATGCAAAATACTTAAGAGACAACATTACATAAATATCCCTGTTTGTGTTAAATCCACATTCCCTTACGTATATGCTCCCATAAAAATATATTCAGGATATTTATTAGTTAATTATGATAAAATAGAAAACAGAAAACCTGCTTCTGTGTTTTTATATAATCTACAATAATCTAAAATCTACCTTTCATTGCTTCGAATAAAAAGCAAGTGTTTCTTTGCTCAATGTAATGGTTTTTTTTAATAGTATACCATAGATAGAGACAGGGGACACAAATATTCCCATTCTTTCTCTCTATTTGTGTCTTTAACATTCTCAGTGAAGAGTGAATCTTGAAAAAGGCAAAAGATGGTGCGTGGTCAGATATAATAAACTGGACAGTATCAAATAGTTACATTTTTACAACCAGCAACTTTACTGCAGCATAGGTCTGTGAAGGAAGACTCTGAACAGATATAGCACTGCAAGCCCGTTATTGTACATATTAGACTTTAAAAGGGAACATATGGCTATGGTCTTAATGGGTGCCAACTGATGATGAACTTACTTCCCCAATGAGTCATCTATGTCCCCTCTGTTGGGCTCCTGGCCACGGACTCGTCCTCTGCAGCTCAGAGGCATCAGCTCATCTGCTGGATAGGCATATTTCTGCAACACAAACAACCGAAACTGTCTTTAAGCTTCATTTAACAGTCATTAAGGAAACAGCTGGAGGGTTGAAAGCTCTCTAGGAGGAAAAGAAACTAGCAGGCGAAAGCTAAATACTTTATCCAACTGCTGGGTCATTAGAGCAGCAGTTTCTTTTTTTATTTTTTCATATCTTTGTCTTCATTTTTTGAAAAAGAAATTTCAGTTTCAGCAACTGATATATTTTTACAGATTTTGATCTATCTAATATTGAGATTGGCCTAAACAAATCCAGTATTGGTCAGCCGTAAGCTACTAATAACAGTAAATTATATCAATGGTTTCTTTTATAGCCAACAGCAGCACTTCTTTCTCAATGGGAGCATCTCTCCTCGCTACTCATTAAGGACAATCCTGATTACTGGAAGACATGGCTATCACCGAGAAAAGACGAATCAATACTGTCAAAAAAAGTTCCAAAATGCTCTGCCCGCATCTGCTGCACCAGGCTGACACTGCAGCTGCAACAAAATGTTTGCACGTCTTGCATGTTTGCTTTCTGCACAACCCCACTAAATCCGATCCAACTGCACTAAGGACTCTGGCCCAGCCACTGATTCAAGCTTTTCTTCACCGGATTACGCTGCAACACGCTGGTCTCACAATAAAGTTGCTCTCTATATTACAAGCTTTTCTTAACTTCCCTCTGGACTCCTGCAACATGCAAATATAAATGCAGTGGTAATTACAAGTATTACACGAAAGTAGACTCCTTACCATGTAACTGCCATAAGCGTGATCGAACATTTCTATAATCTGGTCCCTGTGGGGGGGAAAAAGGGAAAACATGAATGAATCAGTAATGAAAATTGCTCAAAATGTAATATTTTTCACGATGTGCAGACTTCCACAGACACTAATGTACCTGACAACAGTCTTCTCTTCCGGGGTCATGCTCTGGCTCTCTTGACTTTTCACCCAGCCAAGAAGACTGGTGATCAGTAGGGTCTTCAGCATCATCCCAGCGCCAGACGTGTGGGCCAGTTCCCAGAACAGTTTCTTTCCTCTTCTCTTCGTGTAGTCTCGCATGGGGTTAAGCTTTAATAGGGACAAACAAACCCCCTGTCCTCTAGCCCAACGCCCACACGAAAGTCAAACAGTCCAGCGGGCACAGCCGTCCTCCGTTAGAGTCCCGGTCGTCCTCATATTGGTAGACAGTCGGCTGTACGTTAGCTGCCTCCCAGATCCATTTCCATATTTCCACTGTGGTTATTCTGCGGTTGATCCAGTATTGTTACGACCACCACATGCCTCCAGAGCACTTCAGCTGACTGTGTCCATGTAAACAAGAAGAGGCAGCGAGCTACAGCTGATCCTCGATCACCAATGACTGTCAAGAAAAACACCACGCTGAACACAGGCTAATTTAAAAAAAAGCCCACAGCAGGGCTAACAATACACGCCTTGTTTTAACCAAGAAATATGAAGGAAGATAATTAGGTAGTTACCAAACCTGACGGCACGGTGAGACGGTGTAGCTAACACTTGCTAGCCATCACAGTGCTGGGAGGCTCCCTGTTGCTAGCCAGCTAACAAGTTGCTAGTTCGCCGTCAGCAGCGCCGCTTAGTTAGACAGCAACCTTAATGTCTAGATAAAGAGAGCACGCTGGGTCTAAACACCATCTTGAACCTGAAACGAATGATTCACTTGCCGTGTAGACCGACTATCATACAGTTAAATGGTCGATGACACGTCGCCAAGTATCACTATACAGTAGCCTGACGTCGAGTACCGAGCTGTCAAAGAACCTGGCAGTAACGGGGAAACTGTGTGCCCTGAGTTTAATCTCTCAGGCGAGCACTGCGCCCACGTAGGCTAACTTGAAGTCTCCCCATTGGAAATTCCCACCCTTGAATTGTTTATATATAGCATTATAGGGTGTTTATATTATGGTTATGCTTAAGGTTTCAGTCTGACAATGTAGCGGGCGTTGGTTTGTTTGTCCAGGGCAGGGTGAAGGTGACCTGGCAGGCTGTACTCAGGGTAAAATATATATAAACTCAAACAGTGACAGGCCACGCGTCACAAGGTAGGCGGAGTCACAGGAGATGTATATGTGTATTGTTGTGTCTCAGGAGTAACTTAACCCAATAGTGGTTTACCTTATATATTTATTTATTATTTATTTGGCTAACTGTTTACACTAAATTCAACTCATTGAATATTTTCAACCACAACATAATGAACCCGAAAACATGTAAACCATACCCACTGAAACAAATGTAGGCCGTGTCATCATCCACAAATCCTCATATCATTACCTTTTTCTGCTTCCTTTTATATATACTGTATACTGTGAATGGTTCCTTACCCAAAACGTTCACTTGTGTCATGTCTACAAGTTACCACAAGATGTCGCAACTGTCTCCTCTCAGTACATCACTTTCATACCTCACCTGATTTTATGCATGTATTTCTTTTTTACTTGTAAATGACCGGTGGTGATATGTTTACTCGACTGCTGCCTGTCCTCAAGAGGACGTCGGTGTCTCCATGTGGACAGATCACCCATCTGTTGCCATGGTTCCCTTTGATAACAAATGTCTTCAGTGTAGGATGCTGTGGTGAGCTGCATGCTCTGTGATTTTTTACCTCAGGATGTTAAGTAGGGTTGTCTATGATTTTTTGCTTGGATTAAACGCATCCAGTAATCGGTTAGTTGCGTGCATAATTACATGGCTGGTTTAATTCTGCAATAAGGACTGGACTGACTGAAATGTTCCTAGGTGCACATCAAACATTATAATCTCAACATGAAGTCAGTCCAGTGATCAAATTTACACTGTTGACAAACAAATATTTTGTTTTCCTGTTTCTCAATTCCCTTCCTCTGTCTCTCTTGACTCATATCCTTACCCCTGCCCTGAGAGCAAACACGACTTTGGACCCACAGTAGGCTATCACAGAGCCTGTCGGGTAATTACTGAAACCTAATGGCTTATAAAACAGATGATGTTATGGTGAGGTGGGAAGATTGTTGCGCAAGGGAGTCGAGTTACAGAGGGAGGCATGGTCCAATAGGACAGATGAGAGGCCAGGACCAGTATTGTTACTGTGTGCGGATGAGGAGGAGTTTAGGGTCTCTATGATTCAACTTCCTCCTGCTAATAATGGGCGTTTCCCTCTCAGTTTCTCAGAAAGGTGTGGTGATTTTGGCTCTGTGTGAAGTTCCTCCTCTGACATCAACCCTGTGCTGTCACTAAGGTAAGAAACAAACCGTTTCCTGACTTTTACCGACAGTCTTTCTACATTTTACGCGTCTTTACGCTCTGTCTGTGCTCCGTGGTTTTGTTTTTGATGCTTTAAGTATGCTGTAATGATGGGGAGAATAGTTTTTTTTTTTTTTTTTACTGCAGTGGACATAGGCTTTCATTTTCTAAAGTTCTACCCACTTACAATTGTCTACTCGACTGTGCTGGTTGGCTCACTCGATCTTGAACTGTCAAATGAGGGAGGTTATGGTGGATATTTAGGGGAATAATAACAATAATAAACATTGGATGCCAAGTCATAGGATGAAGCGGAAGAGAAAGTGCGCAGATGGGGCAAAACCAATAAGAAGCAAGAGTCCAGAGCTGATGGAGTACATTATATCCCCATACAGTGACATAAAGATGATTATATTGTATGTTTATTCTTCTCCCTAGTTTGAGACTTTTCTCCACAACCGCAACAATGTCTGTTTGGGTGAGTAGTTGCAGGCTGTCTGTGAACCATAGTAGGGTGTAAATAACAATTTGAGGCTTAAAATGTGAATACAGGTTGTAACTGAAGCATATTTGTTGACTTGTATTGTAGGATGACCTGGATCTGCTCTTAGACTCCCCCTCCTCACTGACTGTGACAGTAAGTTGGACATACTCTTACCTTTCAGTGTGCAGGACTATATGAAGATGATGGATATTGATTTTATTGGATATTGACCAATAGGAACACTTTGAATATAAAATATTGAGTGATTGTTTTACATGTACAAGTTGGTTGATCAATTTCCATTGCTGTTGTGTGTGAACTTGTGTGTGTGTGTGTGTGTGTTTCAGTCCACTACAAGAGGAACTGTGAAGGACAAGCCAAACTTCAAAGTGGAGGAGGATGTGTCTGCACTGAGGAAAGCCATAGAGGGCCTTGGTAAGTTAATGAGTTACCATTATCACTATTAGTGTTATCTGCAAAGCACTTAAATCATATTTTAATAAATATGTCAGTTGGTGGAGTTTTATGAGGTTGTAAAGGCATAAGGTAAGTGGTAATATTGTCCCATGCTGTGCTCTTCTTTATAGGCACGACAGAAAAGACCATAATTGAGGTGTTGACCCAAAGAAGTAATGCTCAGCGTCAGCTCATTGCTAAGGCCTATGAGAAAGCCACAGGAAGGGTATATGAATGTACTTAAAAATATGAATTCTGACTGTTGTGGAAAAGACCAAAATGAGCTTTTTGATGGTAAGTAAGATCTGTGTGTCATCAACCATTTTTCCTCAGACATTAGTAGCTGACCTGAAGGGGGACACCCATGGAGACTTTGAGGACTTGTTAGTGGCATTGGTGACGCCTCCTGCGGTCTACGACTGTCGTCAAGTCATCAAAGCCATCAAGGTGAGATTGGGTCGAATTCACAGAATCTGTGTCGGCCTGCAGAAATTCTCATGTGTTTCAGTGTTCTTTTCTTTTCTTTTTTTTTGTATAACGTGTCGAAAAAAGTGTCAAAAGTGTTAAAAAAACATTAAAAAGCTAATTTCAGTTCTACATGTTAATTTGTTTAAATAGGCTTTAGAATAGTTTGGATTCGTGCAATACTATATTCTCTTTGTGGTCTAAGAACAGCATGTCACTGTTTGTGTTATGTCTATGTATAATAGCACAATATTCAGACTGAAATACCATTTAATTTCAATCTTATTCTCTTGTGTATCACATTCAGGGTGCAGGGACTACAGAGAGTATGCTGACAGAAATCTTTGCTTCGAGATCCAACAGAGAGATCAAGGCCATGTCTGAAGCATACCTCGCAGGTAGGTCTTCAACACATAGTTAAACAAGTACTTGTAATTTCACTGGTTAGATAGTGACTCATCTTATTGTGAAACAGTTGGCAAATGTTGTGAAAGTATCTGCATTGTGCTGTTTCATTCAAGAAACTGGAAAATCGATGATTCACGATCTGCAGTCGGAGGTGTCTGGAGATTACGGCAAAGCACTGCTCATTTTGGCTGAGGTACTGTGTATTAAATTGTATTGCATTTCCAACAAATGAGAATCAGACCTAAAGCATCACATTTAGTATAGCCAAACAGCTGTGGACATTCCTATCCTATCTCAAAAATGTGATAGAAAAAAAGAAAAATCAGCACACAAAAAGCAAATTGACTTATGTGAGCCAAACATTCAACACACATATCAATGCACAATAAAATTGCTAAAAAATGAAAATGTTTTCTACAGATCTGTAAATCTTTGGAAAGCTTTTCATCTCTATTATCACATTACAATGTTTAGCTTGGATGTTGAATTTTGAATTAAAATCACTTAAAATAACCAAATGCCAAATATATTGGATTTATTCTACATATCACAATCTGTTCTTCTGTTCGTCCTCACAGGGGAAGAGAGACGAGAGCACCAATGTGGATGCTGCTAAGGCTAAAGCAGATGCTAAGGTATATTCACTACATTCTGTCTTTCAGTGACACGTAGTGCGACCACCATGTTGCTCATGTGGATACAGGCAACATTAGTTACTATGTCAGTTCCAGCTACTGTTTGGACATTCTTAGCTCGACTTTACACATGCATGGGGCTTGAAGGCATCGCTCACCTCACACACACACACACACACACACACACACAGCTTTCTCAAGCCTGAACTTGCTTTTCCTATGCTTGACATGTCATGGTTGTCCCTTGTATTGCAGGTTCAGTTGATTTAGCCATGAAAATCCATATTTATGGTCTAAAACTGTGCGTATATTCACATTCACTTTCATTCCACCCAGGCCCTGTATGAAGCAGGAGAGAAGAAGTGGGGAACTGATGAAGGGAAATTTATTGACATCCTGTGCCACAGGAGTATTCCCCAGCTTCGACAGAGTGGGTACACCACTTGCACATGTTTTTTTGTAGATGCTTAAGTTGCACTTATTTAGGCACAGCAGTGGTTTGAGTTAAATGCTAATGTTGGCATGCTAATATGCTGATGCAAAGTAAGTACAATGGTTACCATGTTCACCATTTCAGTTCAGTGTTTGCATGCTAACATTTGCTAACTAGTACTAAGCAAAAAGCACACCTGAGGCTGATAGGAGTATCGTTAGTTTTGCAGGAATTCGGTCATAAATCAAATGTTTTGGTCAAATTAAAATGATAACTAGGTGAAAAGTAAAGGGATCAGCAAACGTATTAGGATTTAATCCTCTGGACATCATGGATACTTGCATCATATTTCGTGGCAATACACCCAATTATATTTTACTAAAAGCCCAAAACTTCAACCTCATGGTGGTGCTTGAGGTAAAAGTCAGGGGATCACCAAAGTCAGCACGACTGATCCTTTGGGGACATGAATGTGTGCACAAGATTTCATGGCAATTGAAAAAGAGTAGGGAACTGACCAACTGGCTGACATGGCATGCCATCCCTACAGCCATGTATTATATAGTATGAATTAAAAAAAATCATTAAAGAAATGTATGTCTCACCTTCAACAGGAGAGAAAAAAAGTTAAATCAAAATTTGTTTTATGTTTTGGCAGCTCTGGTGGAGTACAAAAACATCAGTAAGAAGACTCTGCAGGAGAGCATTGAGAGCGAGATGTCTGGAAACCTGGAGAAGCTACTAGTGGCTGTTGGTGAGAAAGATGTCATATAATCACACTCCAACACTAACTTCTCCAACAGAACAACGTATTCAATATTTTTTACTCAACTTTTGTCTAGTGAAGTGTGTGAAGAACGTTCCTGCATACCTCGCTGAGAAGCTATTCAAGAGCATGAAGGTAAGCTGTACAATATGTCCTTCTGTATCACGGGGAGCCATAGTTGTACCGGTGGCCCCCAAAACAAAATCCACGTATTGTTTGCTTACACCCGGTCCATTTTAGCCACACCATACAATTGCATTGGTCACCAGTGGTGTGGAAAGGAATGTTAAGCCACTGTTTTATTGCTGCTGCTTTGACTAAATGTGCCAACAGGCTCTAAAGTAGATAACCAAAAAACAGAGACTGCTGAAATAATAGCCATTATTGCAGGAGAATGTGTGTGAACTGATGTGAGTAGCTGCAAAGGAAGAAGAGACTGCAGCTTTTGTTATTTCATTTGATATTCAGGTCCAATTCCTGACTTTACTTCTTCCCCAAATGTGACTTTTTCCAGGGTGCTGGGACGACAGAGTCCACTCTGACCAGAATACTAGCCAGCCGCTCTGAGGTCGATCTGCTAGACATCAGAGCAGAGTACAAGAAGCTGTTTGGATGTTCCCTCTACTCCCAGTTAGAGGTCAGAACACACCACCAGAAATTACATTTAATGTGCTTATTTAGTTTAAATGTCTTATCTTTGAGAGATTGGACAAGAATTTTCTAAGGTTTACATCAGACTGTTCCGGTTTGTATGAGATGACGTGTTCTTTAAACATGTTTTTTTTTTATCTCTTTTCTTCATCGTGTTTGTGTAGTCTGAAGTGTCGGGCAGTTATGGAGACGCCCTCAAGCATCTATGTGGCCAAGACTAACTCCTTCCAACTCCTGTGATGAGAAACATGTGGTGTATGAAGTGCAGCTTTACCCCATAACAGATGGGAAGAACCGCGTCTAATGAGGAGGATGACCAGTTGCTGACCTTTCCAATCATATTGATACATTAGCTTGGACTTGGCTAGAACTAACCATCCAGCAATGCTTTTTAATGTGGAATTCCAGTAATGTTCAACCAGAAATTGATGTTTCAAACTAGAGTGCCATGTATGACCATGCCATCAACGATTAACACACAAACACTTAAGGAGAAACTGTTATTCTTAGATATGAAGACGCTGTTGAATGTCTTTTTCAATATAACAAATTGTTTGTATTACAACATAGTCACAAATAACTGTTATAATTTCACATATAAGAAAATAAAAATACTGTATTCTACTATTTCATGTGAGTGAGAGAAAAGATACAAGACAAAACCATGCCATTTATATAAAAAAATACTTATTTTATTTAAGGGATTTATTTATGTTGCTGTAACCGACTCCTACACACGTCATCAGGACCTTGTCTCCTCCTTTCCTTTCATCTTCCGAAGACTTCTGAACTTCAACCTTGAACATAATCTGGAAGAAATCTCTAATGTGCCTGAGGAACTCGATCCTGGATTGAGAGAAATGGGTGGAGGAGTGCGAAAGAGGAAAACATGATTAAATATATTACAACTGACTATAAATAATACACACTGGAAGTTGCAGATCAGTGTCACTGCCTTTGATTCTTAAAGCTAGGATGCCAAACATTTTCAAAGCAAAGGTATTTACATACACATAAAACCAAATTTGTTTTTTTAATAAATACACATCTTTGAGGTAACCGGTTGTGTTGTCATCGACATTACCTGAGTTAAGAGGAGGAGTGTATTGCGATGGCACTGCCAATCTTCAGTTATCATAGTACTGTACTTGAGAGGGACACAGCACCGGTACCATGATAACTGAAAATGGACAGTTCATAGTTCGCTCCTCATTTGAGATGACGACCGTGTCTGAAATCAACAGTTTTCCTGTTCGTTTTTCTCCTTTATGCTTTAACATTTATTACAGTTTGTATACAAGAAGTCAGTGTAGTGAAAACAAGTCTTAAACTCTAAATGTATTCAGTGATCACACATTCACCAAGTACCTCTGTATGAACTGACACGGACCATGTAAACACACAGCTGGCCAAGTCCCATGATAATGCATTTGTTTAAAAGTATGTGAAAAATTTGTGCAGAAAAAAAAAAGGTGATCCAAAGTCCACAGAAT